AACTTTGACTTCAACTTCAGCTTCAGCTCAACATTTGGAACCAGAATCAAATTAGTCTAATTTAACAAACTCAACGCTTATAGATAAATCAAATCTACCTGATCAATATAATTCTGATCCTCATGTGACAAGTTAAGTCCAATTCTTGAACAACAACAAGCAATTAATATTTTTTGCAATAGTAATCAAGGTTATAAAAAATATATTACCAAGATTGTCATACTTTTTACATTAGGAATTATCACATATATTATTAAGGTAAATATATTAAATTAATTAAATTAGTATTTATCTCTTTTATGCTTAAAAAATTTTTTTTGAACAGAAAAATTACGATATTGTCGGAGATACAATTGGACTAGCAAATAATGTAAGTATCGACAGTTGTTAGATTTTCACTCTCATATACAATAATTTAAAAGATAGGAATATCTATTAAAATTTAATTGTTTAGTATCGCAAAGATTTATTTACCTAATCTTCGAACAAGTAAGTATTTCTTTGGGTTTCACTGTTATTAAAACATAATAACTAACTTATTAATATAATGTAGATAAGACTTTTTGCAAATGAGAGAGATTCTCAAGAACAAAATTTAATTTTCATATCGCAAAATGATGTTTTAAAAGTAAAAAATAAAGAAGTCGAAGAAAGAAATCACATGCTTGAAATTGAAAACTCAAATCTAAAAATAAAACATAAACAGACTGAAGAGAGAACACAAAGCTTAAAGTAGAAAATAAAGAGATCAAAGAAAGAAATCATGCCCTAGAAATAGATAACACAAATCTTAAAGTAAAAAATAAAGAAACCAAAGAAAGAAATCACACCCTAGAATCACAGAATATAATTTTAAAAACTGAAAATGCAGATTTAAAATTAAAAGATAAAAATCATACAAAACTCAAAACAAAATATGCAGTTCTAGAATCAGAACACGAGAATCTTAAATCATCATCACTGAATCTGAAAATAAACTCAGAGATATCAATAAGAGATACAGCAAACTTCTCATGGAACATTCAAATCTAGAAGTAATTTATGTCACACTTGAAGATAATTATAAAGCTTTACAAGCTCATGACGGAAAGAATAAAATAGAAATTAAAAATTTGGAAAAGAAATTGAAAGAAATACGAGACAAAAAAGATAAAGTGGAAAAAGACTTGTTAAAAATGATTGAAAAACAGAATAAAGAAATTAAAGAAAAAAATAAAATGATAGAAAAATTAAATGCAGAAAAGGTAATACTTATTATGGAGCAAAAAAAGAAAAAATACAATTAAATAGAAAAAATGCAATTAAATAGTTCGTTAGAATACTTTGCTTTATAATTTGTATAATGATCAGTATCAATAAAAAAAGGTATCAAACAATATACGCTTCCATAACATTCGAATAATTTAAGTAATGTTAAAACTAGTTCGTAGTTTGAATCTTTAATGCGGGAAAAGCATTGGCTACTTCTCTCATATAAACAAGATTATTGAATGTTACGATTTTTCAATTTTTTATTAAAATACTTTTCAAATCAAGATTATCTAATTTTATTAACTACAAATTTGATACTAATAACAAATGTAAAAAATCCAAAATATAAAACTCAAGTAAAAAACTGATAAATATTGTGATAACAAATGCAAATATGTAAAGTACGAATTTATAACTACAAAATTTATTAAAGATTAAAAAGAGTTTCTTAATTAATATTTAAATAGAAATGTAAACTGATTACCAATGTTTATTTTTTTCCAATTCGATTTTACCTCTCAAAATTAAAATATTCTTCGCCAATCGTTGATTTTCAATTTCTAATCTTTCGATTTCACCTTGCAAAATTAAAATATTCTTCGCCAGATTATATTTAGTATAATTATTGGCCATAAGATATATTTGTTGATACATCGTTAACTAATTAAAAAATATATATATATAATAAAAATATCAAATAACCTTACAAAAAAGTATTACAATGTTTTACCATTCTATATGCTTCCAACTCCGAAGACATTTTAATTTTGTTCAAATTTTTAATTAGAGATTATCATATAAACCAAATCATTTATATGACATATAATAATGAATAATATAGAATAACCATAACTAGTTACCAACTTTATTGTGAATATACTTTAAACTTCATATATTATGTAAAAAAATAAATTAATATAATTTTTCTGTTCAATTGAAAACCTGTTAAATACAAGTTTACTGTACATAGTAATTATATTAAATAAAATTACAACTATGTATATTTCAAAAAAAAATTATATATACATAAAACTAGATAAAACTAGACTTATTTTGTTGAAAAGAATCCAAACGTGAAATTCTTGAAAAAATTTTAACCTTTAATTTTTTTTTACAAAAAATGAGTTTTATCACACACTTACCAGATGAAACCTCATAGAAATATTTAAATATCTAAAGAATAAAATCTTATTTTCATGTCTCCTTGTAAGCTATAAATGGTGTAGACTTATTGTTCCAATATTATGAAGGTCTCCCTGTTTTAAAAATAGACATGTCATCGAAATATGTCTTCTAGATCTGAATGCTGATGAAAAAGCACAGTTAATCCTATTTAAAATTAACTTTTTAGCAAACTCTATGATGCCACTACTATTGATAGTTGGCGTTTGAGCAGAGGAGTGTTACATTTTTTTGAAGAGTTCAGAAAAAGTATTTATCCCGTAGCAGCTTCTTTGCTTTTAATGTTTCTATGAAAAAGTAAAAAACTTAAAACTTTAAATCTTTCAAATTATACCCTTGGTTCACTTGGAAGAAAAAAAATAGCAAATGCACTTATCAAAAACAACAGTTTAATTTATTTGAATCTTTCAAATAATCAGCTTGGCTCCAATGTAGGAAAAGCTTTAGCTAATGCACTCTGCAAAAACAATAAATTAGCAATTTAAGATTTTTACCTTAACCAACTGGGGACTGTGAGCGGGGAAGCATTAGCAGATGCTTTTCTTAAAAATTACACTTTAACTTCTTTGGATCTTTTATACAATAACCTTGATGCTTTGGGAGGAATTGCGTTGGCAAATGCTCTCTGCAAAAACAATACGTTAACTACTTTACTCCTTTCCAATAATCAATTTGAATCTGATATTGGAAAACCACTAGCAGATACTCTTTGCAACAATAATGCTTTAACTTTTTTATATCTTGCAAATATTAATCTTTGTTCTGAAGAGAAAGTAATAGCAAATGCTCTTATAGAAAACAACACTTTAACTTATTTGGATCTTTCATTTAATTAGCTTGACTCTGATGTAGGAATAGAGCTGGCAAATGCTCTTTGCAAAAACAATATATTAACTACTTTAGATATTTACCTGAATCAAATTGGGATTGAAGGTGGTAAAGCATTAGCATCTGCGATTCACAAAAATAGTGCTTTAACTTCATTAGATATTTCATATAATCCCCTTGGAAATAAAGTGGGAAAAGAATTTGCAGATGCACTTCAAATGAACAAAACTCTAAAAAATCTGAAAGTTGATGGTAATGGATTTAATCCCGAAATAAAGAAAAGGTTAGACGAAATATTAAAAAGTGACAGTTTAGATATAGATTTAGGTTCTAAAAATGATAGCGTAACTGTTTGTTGATTGTAGTCATCAGTTGTTTTTATGAATGATTTTACAATTTTTGATTTTGTTTTATTTTTTTGAAATAAAGTCATGACTTAGTCATGTTAATCAATTCAGTTAGAATGGGTCGAAATAGTTAAATTTTGCTTAAAATCGTCAAATAGACTCACTTATCCGATATCCAAGAATTTAGTATCTGATGGATAATCATATGATTTCAAGCACTAGACACAAAGCCGATAAAACTCTTAACCAAACACAAACAAGGTATATAAATTTGCACAATTTTAGAAATCAACAAATAAAATGAATGCTAGATAATATAATGTAACCCAATTTCGCAATGTAATAAATATAACGGCGTGATGCAGAATTGGGTTTTCAGAATCTTACGGAAATTTTACCGGCTCGGAATATTTCAGAACCCGGCCAGATTTATGACGCTGCTCGAATTATTTAAATATATCCTGCGGTGCCCATCACTACGGCTAGCAAAGTAATAGCGGAAAAAATTGGCAGTCCTGTGATAATAAATCATGAGTTTTATTTGCCTCTTCAATTTGTTTTATTTTTATTCTGCCAGCATTAATATGATTTGACTAAAAAATAAAAACGTAATTTGTGATCTTTATGATCTTTTTCATGATTGGTAAATTGCATTTTATTAATAATTGGCCAAGTTTATTATTAAAAATTCTTTATTAGCAAGAAAAGCTAGCAGAATAAAAATATATTATTAAGTATAATTCTGGGCAAAATTAGACATAAGTCAAAATCAATATATTTTTCAAACAAAATTATGTATAATTCTGGGCAAAAACTGGAATAACTCAAATTTTATTAGATTCAACCTCAAATAAGACGAAAATTGATTATATATACCCATATAGAATTCAAAATAAAATCTATATTTAAAAGGTATAGTACAAATTAACTAAGAAATGCACAAGAGTTTTTTTTTTTGAATCATTTAAACAATTACGCAAAAATCCATGCCATTTTTAGATTAAGTGATAATAAAAAAAAAAAAAAAGGAATGCACCCATAGAGATTGGATCCAGTTAGTGTAATTTAACTTATAAACCAATTTTATATAGTTGCTTTGTTTTGTCATAATTGTTTATAACATTGGAAATTTTGTTATTTTTTTTGTATTCTTTGGCTTTATTAACTAGACGTAAATTTTGTGGTTATATTTCATTCTTTATTCGTCAATTAGTTAATTGAAACGTAACAATGTTGCGAACTATAACAGTTTACTAGTATTATAAAACTAAAGCCAGATATTACTCATCACTTATATTTGCTCTTGATTTTTACTGATTTCATTCATCCTATTAATAATTTTAAGAATTAAGATCAATACTCGACTAAAATAATTTTAAAAATTTAAAAGATTTACTTTTTCACATTTTCCAATTCTGCACACAATTTGAGACATATTTCTTGTAAATAATTAAACTTTTCTGTAAGATGTGTCAAACATTTTTCATTAATTCGCATATTAGAGATAGCTAATAATAGAAAGCTTGAATCAGTACATGAAATAGATTCAAATAACAGGTAATTATAAAAAAAGTGTGTCACCTTTTTTTAATAGATTAGCTTTACTCGCTCTATTATAGTAATAGTCAGGAATAGTTTTTTGAGCAAATTAAAACTCCCATTAATACCTTCTTGCCTTACTCTTTCATTATTTACTTTAATTTTTCTATTTTCTTCCAGATCCTAATTAAATTTTCTTTTTTTACGTTCTTTGTCATTAATACTACATATTGAAAAATCATATTTGGCATTACCAAGATTAGTAATAATAAATTATATTAAGCAGTTTGTATATAACTAACATTAAAAGTTCGTACTTGATCAGAGCATCGTTTGTAACATCATTTTCGATTGGTCTTGTCATAAAGAATGATGAAATTATTAAAGGTTTTTTTTATAATTTAAAACAATTGGTGAAAGATTATTTACTCATACCTATAATCACATAGAATAAAATCTTTGAAAGCGTTTAGACCGGTCACTAAATTCATTACAAAAATATTAATTATTTGCACGTTCTTATATTTGATTGTCGCCAATATAAAACCTATTATCAGACTTTCAAATATATTTTGTACAGGACATATTCCTTGTCTAAAAAATATACCTGATAACATGTTTTTACTTGGTAACACTTATTCATGCAAAAAATAATTTACCTTCGACTACATCTAAATTTGGTGGCTTGTCTTCGATCAGTCTTGCTATAAGGAGATAAAACTTATTAAAGGCTCTTTGTTTATAATTTAGAACAAGCAATAAGAAGTATTCATGCCTATTATTATGTGTATCAAAATTGACCGAATTGTAATGGTGTATATTTACAGCATCATAAACTGATACATCTAGTGTAGAGAAGAATACATTAACTTAATGACTTTGTTATACTATTTAGTCACATTAATAGAAATAAAAACCATCTTATTTTATATTATTACCTGGGTTTGAAACTAAAAATTGTTGAATGAAATTATAATCAATATTGAAATTCATTATAACCGTAAATCTACAGTAGTCTAGCCAAATCCTTATCAATAATAAGATTAAATCATGAGTTTTATAGACTAAATAATCAGCGAAAAGATTCTATGATCCAATTTTCTAATAAATTCTATGTGCGTTTTCTCTGAAAAAAAAATATTACCTAGGTATTCTAAGAATGATCTTTCTTGCTATAAGTAAAAAAGATGAAAAAGATGGCAAACGATGTCAATTTAAGAAATTTCTGTTCGATAATTTCTCGTGCAAACAAGATAAATGTGTATTATCTTATTTAAATTATATAATATAAAAAGATAGTAATAAGAAAAAAACAGGTTCAAAATATATACGATCTGCAAATATATAATCATATATATAGCATGTTTTCCTTGGTATTATATAATTCTAAGTATAACTATTTAATAGAAACATTTTATCTCAGACTTGTAAAAAATGAATCAAGAAGATTTTAAACAGTGGTGTGGCTTCATTTACTCAAAGTATACCTGACTTTCGGATGTCTATTTTTAGTTTATTTTCTGTTTTCCGATATTTTATTGTCCTTACTATCATTTGCTTGCTGACTTGAATTACGTTAGATTGATATGTTTATTACAGTACATATCCTAAACTAAAAAACTTGACCAATCATTAATAAGATGCAATTTACCAATCATAAAAAGATCTTAAGATCACGAATTACATCATTTGTATTACATCAGTAAAATAATCGTGTATTACAGTATAACTTCGATATAATGAAGCTCCGAAGCTGGAGGTTTTTCTTCATTATATCTAAATTTCTTATAGATTTGTTTTATCGAGGCTAATTTAAATATAAAAATTTGGAATGACTTTCGTTATACAATTAGTGCTTATTATATCGAGGTTATACTGTATTTCTTAAGAAGAATTTAAAATTTTTTTTAAAGAACTATTTGGTCAGCCTTAACTTTTCACAGCTTTTATTTCGATTAATTTTAAAGGAATGTTGGCTTAATATTTTTCTGTCCATATTTGAAAAAATTCAAGTAATTTTTGATATTCGCTCTTAGCCAATCAAAATCAAGGATCTCTCGCACATTATAATTCCGGGTCGAATTATGCAAACATGACTATTTTAATGCTGGCTGAATGAAAACAAAGCAAATTTTTTGCGCCACTACAGTCTGTAGTATTCATTATATTGCAAAATCAGGTCACATGATATTGGCATTCATTTATTTGTTAATTTCTAATTGTACAAATTTATATTCGCTTTATGTCTAAAATCAACCAAATTTGATTAATGTAACTAAGTTACAAACTTTATTTTCAAAAAATAACTGACAAACCAAATTTTCTCATTCGACAAAAAAATCTAAAATTGTAAAATCAATCAACAAACAGTTACATATCATTTTCAGAATTTATATCCATATCTAAATTGCCATTTATTAATATTTCGACTAACTTTTTCTTTATTTCGAGATTAAATTCATTACCATCAACTTTCAGAATTTTTAGAGTTGTGTTCATTTGAAGTGCATTTGCAATTCTTTTCCTACTTCATTTCCAAGGGGATTATATAAAAGATCTAATAAGGTCAAAGCACTATTTTTGCGAATATCAGATGCCAATACTTTACCACCTTCAATCCCAATTTGTTTCAGGTAAGTGTCTAAAGTAGTTAATGTATTGTTTTTGCGAAGAGCATTTGCCAGCTCTATTCCTACATCAGAGTCAAGCTGATTAGATGAAAGATCCAAACAAGTTAAAGTGTTGTTTTTGATAAGAGTATTTTCTATTACTTTCCTTCCAGAACCAAGATTAATAACATAATTTATAACAATTCTGGTGGATAAAATTTTAGTTTTTATTCACTAATAACAAAAAAATTTCTCACTACAACAAAAAATCATAAAATCATTACAACTATAAAATGTAGCTACAAAAAAAATTTAATCTAAAATTCCTATAAAAATTCCTACAAAGAAATATCAACTAAAATTTTATAAAAATATGTTTCAGGAACAATATAGAAGTCATTTTTTGAACAAAATCACCAGAAATGGGATTTCAAAAATAAAAATATACTTATTCAAAATTAAATTCATTGGGAATTAAAAATGAAAATTGACGAGTCAATTACAATAAATTTTGCTGTTGAGGTTGCAATGAAGTTTGTTGCTGAGGAAGTAAATATTGATCCTCAATAGTTGGATGTTTTATTTTTAAAATATTGTTGTAATATTCTTGAATAATCTTTGTTTTCTTATTCAACCATTCTTGTTTCCCATTTTCAGGCACTCTGAGATATTCATTTTTGGTACTATCTACTTCTTTTTTCAAGTAATGGACAAAATGAGACGTAATTGATAATTCACGCGTAGAATGATTTAGGTAATTTACTTGAAGTTGTTGGTAATCTACTGAATGCATCACAAAAAGGAGTTCAGATAGAAAATCACTTTCTTCAAGTGTTAAATGGCTATACAAATCAAAATTAATTAAATAATGATTTGAAAAGTGTTTTAAAAATTATCCATTACCTAATTAATGTTGGCATTCTTACATGACAAGGTTTACAAATTTTGATCTTTAGTTCAAGAATTAATGCGGAATCGTCTGGTTGATTACATATTTGACATATATTTATGAAGTTTAAAAAGCAATATTGTTGTTTAGTCATATTGCTGGGGCATTTGTGATTTTGGTTAGATTGCTGTTGTTGGGAATTTTTCCAAATTCTGCTATTTGAAATTAATATATTATATAAAAATTTTTTAACTTTCATAAAGGAAAATAAATCTTTTGGAGATAAATATGAACAAATTTTATATAGAAGTTTGAGTGGTAATATTTTCCAAGGATCTAATTCAGATTTGAAATAAGTACTATAATGAAGAAAATTAAATTAATCTCATATCCTTCCTTACTTTACCTTATCTGACTTATATATCTGTTTGGTTAGGTTAGAATTTTCAAAGAGTAAATTTTTCATTTTAGTTTCGAGTTCTTCAATTTGATTATCTTTTTCGCTATTGTCAGACTTAAGTATTTCGATTTCCTTATCCTTTCTTCTAATTACACCATTTAATCTTCTAATTTCTCTTTTGAGGTTGTCGATTTTTCTATTGAACACACCCTTTTCTTTTTCAAATACATTCTTCAAAGTATCGCAATTGATAAATTCTTTTTTAGTAACATGGGCATGGTAGTCTTTTGTTCTTTCTTCTTGTGTTTTGATATCTTTATGATATTTTTTTGGAATTTTTTCTTTTGTTCTTTTTAGGAATTTTAGATGTTCGTTTAAGATTGTTAGTAAAAATTCTTTAGGAGTACGATTTTTTCTCATCATGATGTTGAAGTTAATCTCTTAGATATTAATTTACTTATCATATGAGATTTTAATAATTAGGACGATTATATTAGCCCACTGGTTGTAATATAATCGTCAAAGATAGATTTTTATTGTTTAATTCATTAAACTGTAAACAGCCTGCCGGTCGTGAATACAGGTTTTTATCATATAAATTCATCTTTTTTGCTATTTTAATTATTTGGCATAGTGAATATCTGAATTGATTTATTTTAATATAACATGTAAAAAATTACTTTCCTGATTTCTTTAAAGCTAATAATTGAAGCGAAGATTTCATTTATTGTTTTACTTTACTTTCAAAGAGACATCTATATACAATATTAGTAATTAAACAGGACACTAACTTGTTTTTAATCCAATATCTGGTTATATTCCATGAAAAATATTACCTATTTTTCGCATTGGTAGTCACACCATTAAATGATATATAATTACCTGTGTATAAAATCTAATCATATAAAGTTAAAAATGCTGTGATATATAAATAACCGTGTGTAAAGAATATTGTGATACATAATCAGCCATCTGTAAAATCTTACTAATCATACAAAGTTAAAAAATGTTGTGAATATATAAATAACCATGTGTAAACTCTAAAAAAATACAAGTTAAGAAATCAAGTTAAAGAATGTTGCTGTCTGTAAAATCTAATTGAACAAAGTTAAAGAATGTTGTGATACATAAATAGCCGTGTGTAAAATCTAAATGTTGTATGATACAAAGTTAAAGAATGTTGTGATTCATAAAAAATATTGTGATACATAATTAGTCATCTGTAAAAAAAAAAAAAATACAAGTTAAGAAATCAAGTTAAGTTGTAATACATAAATAACTGTGTATAAAATCTAAAAAAGGTAAAGAATATTGTGATACATAATTAGCTATCTGCAAAATCTTACAAAAAAAGCATGTATTACATGATAAGTTGTTTGTAAAATCCAATTATATAAAGTTAAAGAATGTTGACTGTGTGTAAAATCTAAAAAAGATAAAAAAATATTGTGATACATAATTAGTCATCTGAAAAATCTTACAAAAAAAGCATGTATTACATAATAAGCAGTTTGTAAAATCCAATCATACAAAGTTAAAGAATGTTGTGATTTATAAATAACCATGTATAAAATCTAAAAAAGATAAAAATATTGTGATACATAATTAGTCATCATACAAGTTAAAGAAGATGTGATTCATAAATAATCATGTGTAAAATCTAAAAAAAAATAAAAAATATTGTGATACATAATTAGTTATCTGTAAAATCTTACAAAGAAAGCATGTATTACATGATAAGCCATTTGTGAAATCCAATCATACAAAGTTAAAGAATGTTGTAATTTATAAATAACCATATGAATGATTCATAAATAACCATGTGTAAAATCTAAAAAGATAAAAAAATATTGTGATACATAATTAGTCATCTGTAAAATCTTACAAAGAAAGCATGTATTACATGATAAGCCATTTGTGAAATCCAATCATACAAAGTTAAAGACAAAGAAAGAATGTATTACATGATAAGCCGTTTGTAAAATCCAATCATACAAATTTAAAGAATGCTGTGATATATAAATAACCATGTGAAAATCTAAAAAAAAATACAAGCTAAGAAATCAAGTTAAAGTTAAGTTGTGATATATAAATAACTGTATGTAAATCTAAAAAAGTTAACGAATATTGTGATACATAATTAGCCAGAAAGCATGTATTACATGATAAGCCATTTGTAAAATCCAATCATACAAAGTTAAAGAATGTTGTGATCCATAAATAACCATGTGTAAAATCTAAAAAAAAAATAATCAAGCAATATCATCATACAAAGTTAAGTTGTGATACATAAATAACTCTAAAAAAGTTAAAGAATATTGTGATACATAATTAGCCATCTGTAAAATCTTATTGCATGATAATTCATGTGTAAAATCTTACAAAAAAATCAAGAATAATACCTGAAAAATATTATACAAACTTGAATAATTTCTAACCAAGAAAAATTTCAAACTTGATTGTTCTTGGGTTATGCGGCCCACGGTCTAAATTCAGTCGAAACAAATAATTGACCAATTAATTGTTTCTGTCCAAATTAAACATTAAATTAACTAAGTGAACAAAAAAAACTAATAATAAAAATTAAATACTGATAAACTTGATATTGCAAAATATAATATATCTTTATTATTGTAAATAAAATTTCAGCTTGAATTATATAGGATAGTTTTATTGGTTAATTTCATAACAGCTTAGTAAGAATTCATATATGCATATTAAATCCATTTAACATTATAGAAAATGGGCAAGAGAACATTAATCTCCGAAAACTAATGTGTCTTAATTAAAAATTCTAAAAATTTTAAAATTAACATATCTAAACTCATAAACATAATATTCTTAACTACAATTATTATTATTATCTAATAGAAATCGATATAGTTAGTATATATTTTGTATGTAAATATAAATTTTTGTTTTATTTACTTAATCACACTGTTTTTTAAAATAATATTTTTTCACATTTTTCAACAAATGCCTTGAAAACTGCTTCAACTTCTTTATCTTTATTTTTACAAAAATAATTAACCATACAGCCCAAGCTAATTAGCTGATTGCGACAAAATTCCAGTGGAATTTTTTTTTTTTCTAAAAGATCAAACAAATTAAACATATTTTTATGAAATTTTTTTTTTCGAGTGAATTCATTGTTACTAAAATTTGGAATAGTTGGTTTAATCATTTCACTAATAATTTGTTTTTCAGAACTTAGATATTCTTTATTTTTCAATTTATTATAAATAATAATTAAATAGTTAAATCTAATTAAAAATTCTTCTGAATCTAAATCAACCAGATGCTGCTTTTTTTTAGTAAAAAAATTGCACAATTGATTTGACCAAATGTTTAAGATTTCATCGGTAGTAGCTTCTTCATTGGTGTTGGTCGGAGTAATTGGAATATTTGAAGGTAAGACTAAAGGAAGTTCTCCCTTTATTTGTCTAATAAAAGTTTCTGTCTGTTTTTTTTTGTTTACTGTATCATTATTGTCGTCACTCATGATTACTAATAAGAAAAGATGATCATAATTATGAAATTTACAGAACATATAAATACTGTATAAATTTTATAATGATGATCTTCACCTTTTCTTATTAGTAGTGGGCCAAAGATTACATGGCTTGGAATATTGTGTAATTCCAAAAAACATAGCGGGCTTTCATTGTGATTGGCCAATTTTTGCATATCATCTCGTGATATAGAAAGTTAGAAGTGCGATCCGTTATCTGTTTTCCTTTTTCTTACTAAGAACATTAGTGTATAGTTTTACTGGCATCTAAAACGAAGGCAAAATCTTAAAGCTGATTGGTGTATATTTTTTCTTATGATCATTACCTGTCCTGTTTTATGTAACTATTGCGATATGATTGTCAAATTTGGTATCGTCTATCGAAAGGAGAAACAGCCACACGACGGCCTCACACCAGCCTCGACATGCTAGCACATGTGAAGATCAAAAGGGTATGAGAAATTCAAACACATACATGGAAGACATATACAAATGACATATGCGTGGCCCAAAAGCAAGCAAGAACAGAAACAGACATTGAATAAGTGTAAGTATAAGAATTAGAGGTAGAGAAAAATAGACTAGTCTGTGCTTGGCCAAAAAATTTCGCGACCCACCCAGCCCACTTCCATATAAAGAACACGTGATTCTATTATTTCTTCGCTCAGCCGGCTTGCTGCGGCAAGCAGAAAACCACTGGCTGCTCTCATGGTGACTCCCAGTGCAATCATAATTGCTACTTTCGCGGGTGGTCTTTGCTGTTCTGGCCAACTCGGCCATTTTTGCTATTTATATATTCTGCTAACTTTCAATAAACTACTCATCCTGGCCTAAATGATTTGTCGGCATTGTCCAAAACAAATACGTATACAAGTGTTATGTAATGTGATTCTTTTCGAGCCAGATATATAGTCAGCATGTAATTTTGAATTTATAAATCTGTTAGTAATCAATTTAAAAAAACTACATACGTACGACCTCCAAATTTGTGACTATTGCGACATTTAATCTATTTCCTAATTTTATATAAATAAAACAATACTAAAATAATGCAAGACAAAATGCTGTGCAGTAATTGGATAAATTAGATCATGTGTCAAACATGATACAAGCATGTAAAAAAATACTAGTACCCTAGCCATGATGAAAAAAATTCTTAGATCACGTGCCGTAGATCAATTTTTATGGATTTCTATTGGACACCATATTGATAACCCTAGATAGTCTAGTTCTTATAAATAAAAT